TAACAAAAAAACGAAGTCCAGATGACATGATTCAACCTTTTTTGTTGAATTGAATTGAATTTATCACCAGCAAAATAGTTGGCCCCCTATGGGAGTGTGCTGCTTGTGAGACTGACTTCGTTTGTGGCTCATTGGACTGATGAAGTCCTTTGGATGAAGGATGAAATGTCTCAACAACAACAAAAAGAAACCGTCCAAATGACCTGACTGACTTCGTTGGAACATATCAAAAGGCCTTTTTGGTGAACTTGCTCATTATTTTGTCTTGGACAGGTCAAGATGTCCGTGCAGTTCTCGGGCTGGGAGATAGTTGACGATGGTGCTTGTTTTCCTGGAGTGATCCTGGCACCGTCCCAGGCGCCTCAAAACAAGGGCGTCTACACCATGTTCCACGGCACCAGCGTTGCCAGTGCGCGTTTCATCGTTACCCATGGTTTTCAGCCTTCAACAGGCGGCATGCTGGGAAAGGGCGTGTATGTGAGCCGAGACAAGAAAAAGGCCGCGCACTATCCGCTGAACAGTAACCCCAACGACCGCATGATCTTCGAGCTGCGTGTTCGCGTTGGCCGGGTCAAGCGAATCGACCAGGACAACCACCCTTTGCAGTACACCTGGAGCGCAAATGGCTACAACACTGCCTGGGTGCCCCCCAACTGTGGCATGAAATCTGTGCCCAGCGGCATGGAGGAGGATTGTGTGTTTGATCCCAAAAGAGTGAAGGTGGTCGGCATTGTAAAGGCACCGAATGCAGTGATAGAAAAGGAGCTTAAAGACCTTCTTGCAAAAGCATCTAAAAAGTCCAAGGGAGGCGCTGGTGGCTCTAAACCTGTGTGTTCCCTGTGCAAGAGAAAGAGCCAGCAGGGCACTCCTCATCATAAGCAGACTTGCTGGAAGTGTGGGCAAACCATCTGTATCTTCATGTCCAAGCATTTCTGTCCCTGAACCCTGACAGAAGGTCAGGCATCATGCACACTTCCCTCTATAGTTGCATGTTTACAGTGACAGTATGACTACTGCTGTTCATTTATGACATCATGGAAATAAAAACTATACATTTTCTAATGAATCCCAAAAGCAAAGTGAAATGGCAATGAACATAACAGGTGAACATTTGGCTTTATATAATCAATTTGACTAGATTAATTCATAGTTTTACCTTTGGATCTTAAGTTTTGGTATTGTTTTTTCTTCTTAAGACCCACCAGGCTTATCTAACAGGTTTATGTAAGATAATGTCAATAAAGAATAATGAATGTAGCGAGGGTGGTGGAATCATTCTAAGACTTGGTTGATTTATTTTTGAAAATCCTTAGCGGCTTCAAGAGAAGGTAGCAGCAATTTATTATTAGCACATATTTTCCAACTAAAGATTAAACAAAAAACTATGATACGATTTAAAATGTGTCAAAAAATAGGTACAAAATAACTGTTCACAAAAATAAAAATGAAATACTATGAGAACTACATGTTTAAGAACACTGCAGTGCTCGTCTGTTCGTGTCAGTCATTTGTGTTGCAAATTTATTTTTCAATATGAAAGCCTCAAAATAACAGTATGAGTGACGTTAATCTGCCCCTTTTTTTATTATGTCTGCCCCTTTTTTAAAAAATAATTAAGAGGCATTGATTAGAGCATGTTAAGATAAAACATTCAACGCAATAACCAAATTTTTTTTTTCAAGCTTATTATTGAAGACCATGTTGCAAGAAATAATCAAAATTAACCTATGGAGGGGGAAAAAAAAAATAACTAGTGGCCCGTACGGGGATCGAACCCGCGACCTTGGCGTTATTAGCACCACGCTCTAACCAACTGAGCTAACCGGCCGTGTGTGAAGCGCAAGTCAATTTTACATATGAATTCAAATATGTCCGTGTATCATTATTTCCTACACTTTCTGAGAACAGAAAGTGAAAATCCGCAGAAGAGTCCCTCACGGACGGTAAGTTTTAAGCGTTCAGTTGTTGAATGACCCTTATATACAGCATAAAGGCCTAATTATTTTAATAACAGTTTATTTTGAACCATGGCGTCTGATAGAAAGTCATCTTTTTTACAGCTGTAATTTTGGACGAGAATTTCTAAAATTAAGACCTTAAGGCCTAAAAGTAACATCGAAGTTGCTGCCGTCATAAATCTGCTATTGAGGAACTTTGTGACTCACAAAAGTAAAATTATTATGCAAGATTTAGTATTTAAGGCCAAAGACACACTGGGTTTTATACAAACATGTCTTAAATGTGTTTATTCCCCACAGATCACCTGTTTTTCCAAGACCTGAACAGAAAACCAGATGTCACTGCAGTTCTTTGGCTGGGAGGTGGTCTACGACGATGACCCTCATCGGTTGGAGCTGAAGGCCTCCCAGGAACCCAAAGATCGAGGCGTCTACACCATGTACCATGGCACCAGCGTTGCTAATGCACGTCTCATCGTCGCCAATGGCTTTAAGCAGTCACCAAAGGGCATGTTGGGAAACGGCGTGTACGTAAGCCGTGATAGGAAAAAAGCCGAACGCTATCCTCTGAACAGCCCTTCGGATCGCGTGGTGCTCGAGTTGCACGTCCGTGTTGGCCGTGTTAAACGTATAGACATCGACAACCATCCTATGCAGTACACCTGGAACTCGCAGGGCTACGACACCGCTTGGGTACCCCCCAACTGCGGCATGAAAGCTGTGCCCAGCGGCCTGGAAGAGGACTGTGTGTTTGATCCAAAGAGGGTGAAGGTGGTGGGCATTGCTAAAGCACCAGACAATGTTCTGGTAGAGCTGAAACAACTTGTCACCAAGAGTCTTACAAACACCAGCGGAGAAGACGATGGTGCGGCATCGTACATCGGTGACGCAGCAGATATGTGCTCGCTGTGCAAGAGGAAGCAACAGCAGAGTTCTCCACACACCAAGCTACGATGTTGGGGATGTGGGCAAAACATCTGCACACTAATGATCAAGCATGTCTGTTCAGGGAGATTTTAAGCAGGTGTAAATATCTGAACTGTTCAGTTCCTCCATGTGCCAGGTACACAAAAAAAAGTTTAGATTTATTTATGAGTAGAAACAGCTCAGGGCTCAAGATTTCATCAAACCATGTTGTGAATTGTGCTGAAACAATCACCACTTTTGTCAAAACTGAATGTTTACAAGATTTCTTCAGAATCTGAATGTACTTTTTTTTTTTTTTTTTTTTGTAGAGCTGGTGAAGATTCTCAGTCATCCAGGACATGATAAATTCAAAAAAGTCCAAGACAAAAACAACTGGACTTTATTTGTAACAGAAGACGTTTCGCTCCTCATCCGAGGAGCTTTCTCAATTCAGTTACAAATGGCGTCCAGTTGTTTTGTCTTGAACGTTTTTGGAATTTTTTTTAGTAATGTTTATATCTCTACTTTATATGCAATACTTTCACAGTACCATGTGTTATGGTCAAGTGCAATCAAAGCAAGATTATCTTTATAAAGCAAATTTACTTTAATTCAGCCAAAATGTAGACATGATACAACTGCATTTTGTATTTACTCGAGTTTGCCAAACTGATTTTTATTTTTTTTAAAACATAGTAAAAGAAATAAAACGGCAAAAAATAAAACCATGCAAATCAAACAAAATATATTTTTTTAAATCAACCAGATTATATTTGAATAAACTTGGTTTGCTGGATCAATTCATACTCCAAGTGTCCAATTCATTAGAAGTGATGTGGATGCAACGTTCAGATTGAAGAAGAGGTAAGCAGAGAGTGAAACTCCAGCAGTCTTTGATTTCCATTCATTTTGGCATGTTGCAGAAGTAACTGTACAGAAAAGAGAGAATATATTTAGTATTACTGCTATAGAAACAATTAATGTAAACACAAGCAGGTCAGCTTTTGTTTCATTAAATAAATATTTTAGCCATTTCCACAATTCAGTGTGGAAATGGGTAAATAAATGTCGACAGACAGAATCCCAGTCTGCTGGCAGTACACTCACATTGAGGAGTTCCTGGTCATTTTTAGCATGCAAGTGTCTGAGGAGGTACCAACTGGCCACCTGTACCACAGTCACTGGGATGTCTTCAGATGAAGCATATACCAGTCTCTCCAGCAAGCGTCTTGTCTCCCTGCAAAGAAAAGACAAATATATGAAAAGTTGAACATTATTTGGTAAATATTTATATAGTAGTCCCTCGTTTATCACAGGGTTTAGGGGACAACGCCCCCCGCGATAAGTGAAAAACTGTCAAGTAGGGATACAGTAGTCCAAGTTCAAGTTTCGCTCCCAATATCCATCCTTGAGTGTAAATAAACAATTTAAATACTGTAATATTTTACATAAACAATCCACGCAGCATGGATTGTTTATTTAAAATATTACAGTATTTAAATTGTAGAGAAGAGAAGTGCAGCAGGACATCAAAAGGTTAACCCTTCACGAAGTTCTGCAGCACAGAGCAGAAATGCACTTGATCAATTACACTAACAACTGAACATAGAAATTCAAAAATAATTAAAAATAACTTTTCACACTTTTATATTTTGTGATTATGATGATTCTACAATGTGACATACTTTGAATTTTAAGTTGGAAGACAAAAGTCGATCTGGAATGCAAAGGGTTAACCCTTGACCGAAGCCGCTTCAGCTGGAGGAGAAATGTGGGCGTGGCAGAGAGCCGCAGGTGGCAGAGAGAGATCATGACAGGCTGCAGAGGAAACTTCTCCCTGCACCTGTGGGCTGCACAAAGGTGCATCAGGTGCTAAACCATTTAAAATAATTTATTTTAAATAAACAATCCATGCCGCTTGTGTGGCTCATCCATCAATTAGCCAATTGTGTGTCATATAATAATAATAATAATGTCATCACAATGTCAGCACTGTATGTTTCCATACAATGGCGAAATTAGTCTCTGCATTTAACCCATTCACCACCAGGTGGTGCAGTGGGCAGCTATTGAAAGCGCCCGGAGGCATTTTGGGGATGAGGTGTGCTGCCCAAAGACACCACGTGATGTGCAGTGACTGGGGATTGAACCAGGGACTTTCGGGTCCCAAGCCGGCTGCCCTGCCTCTGCACCATCTCGGCCCCCATATCCACTCTTACTTTGAAAAACCGCAAAAGAGTGAGTCCGTGAAAGTCGAATCACGAAGTAGGGAGAGACTACTGTACTCCTTTCTCCGATATAAAATATGATCTGCTTCTTAAAACCGGAATGAGTACATGCAGATGTTATTTGTTTTATAATTGCAGTTATACACCAAAATAAAAAAAATTAAAAAACTTTTGAAATTTGTATTTTGATTAAATGCTTTTGTATTCACAATACATTTCATCTTGTCAAAGTTCATGGAACTGATGAATTTATCTGTCGTGATGATGATCAGGTTCTGTGATACAGCTAAAATATTTATATATCTACACCGATTTACTGTAGCCTTAATCACAAGATATCATTTGATAATTTCGCAGTGCAAGTATGTGTTTAGGTGGACAATTTTACTAAGATAGACTTTAGTTACTTCTATATGTACTTACACATTACAATAATTACTGTATTTAGCATGAGCTCTGCCTTTTCTCTGCCTGGAGTGAAAAAAGCAGCACAAAGCTGATAAATTGTTCACAAGATGCTTTCTTGAGGGGAAAAAAGCTGCTTAAAAATCTGAAATAGTATTAAATGTTGAGACAAACCAACTCAGATACTAACAAGAGTAAAAAAAAAAAACTAAATGTCAATTGCTTATTTTTCTGTATGTTAAGATGTAAAGATTTAGCCTTACAATAAAATAAAATAAAAACATCACCAGAACTGCTGTACAGCAGACAGTTAAACAGTAAAATAAGTTGCTATTTTGCATGTTTCAAAAATACATGTATATATATGGCCTCTACAACAACAGCTAAAACCATGATTTGGTGTAATAAATGGGTGTGTAATTTAATGCTATAGCTCAAATTTCCAAAACACTGGTAGCTGTATCGGTTGGATCCAAATGTTGGCTGTTGAGACTATTGACAGTACTTCAGAAATGAGTTAGGCTTACGATGGATAAATGAATATCCTTTCATCATCTCTACTCAAATAAGCCACTCTGAGGACACGAGATTTTTTAACTGGTCTTTACAAGGGTAGACGTCACCATAAGGCTTTCGCAGATGTACAAAGTTACATGCTTAGAGCCTCATCAGTGAGAGTCTGGGCCGGACAGTGAGGCAGGAAGTGTTTTTCATAATGCTCATCAGACAGTTACTGGTGACCTCAGTCTGCCAGCTGTATATGCAGGCTCACATCTGCTCCTCTCTCTAAGCAGACAAGAGAAACTCTGACCTCAAACACATGGTTCAACGTTAATTTAACATTAGTTAGTGATAACCATATATGACCTTTACCTAAATTCCTCTGACAACGTACTAAGAGCAGCATAAATTTTAATTAAATTCAGATCACTGTATTTCTCACCCCTACATTGTGTTTGGCTCATAGGTTGTTCCTCTTATATTAGTGAAATCGCTTGTCTTGGCAGGATTTTCAGTTTGCTACAGATTATTACTATGTCAGAAAAGGTTATCCTTAGTTATTTTTAGAATGTCTCAAGTGTGCCAGTGCTGTCAAAAACTGAAGGAGGAATACGTCTTTAAGTTTCAAGAGCATTAATGATTTATTTGTTCACTTTAGAAGATTAATTATACATGCCAATCCAACACATTTACATGCATATCTTTGTAGAACAGCATCTACTGTGTATGTGTGTGTGTGTGTGTGTTAGTACAGATCCTGCTGCAGTGGAAACAGCAGAGTAAGAAGCACTGACCTAGCCCCCATCTTGGTCACAAACTGAAACAAGGCCTGGAACAGCAGAGCCATAGGGGATGAACCCAGCTTCAGAACTTCAGTGGTGGCTTCCATCAGCAGGTCTTTCCAGTCATTTCCTGGCGCACTTGCCTTCAAAGTCAATAACACTTATTTTAGCAACACAGAAAAAAAAAAAAGACCTGAAAGTGTTGTTTCCTTCATCACAGTAGATGTAATGAAAATTAGATTGCACAGAAGTCCCTCTGTACTTCGAAGTTGGTTTATCGCGGACTCGCTCTACGGCGGTTTTCCAAAATAAGATTGGACATGACATACAACTGACTGATTGATGGATGAGCCACACGATTGGCATGGAATTTTTATTTAAAATAAAATTATTTTAAATTATTTATCACCTCCTGCACCTTTGTGCAGCCCTTACTGCAGGATAAACTTCCTGCTGCAGCTGATCAGCTGTTCTCCGTGCACGCTCAGCTGTTCACTGTGCAGAGCAGAGGAAGTGGGCGTGGCCAAGAGCGCTAGCAGGTGGCAAAGAGCAGCCGTGGCAGAGAGCTGAAATCATGACATTCTGTGCTCTTTTAGAGCATTTAGAGTTTAGAAACATTGTTTAGAATGTTGCAAGAGTGTG